TAAACCCTTAAACCCTAAACCCTTAAACCCTAAACCCTTATATAAACCCTTAAACCCTAAACCCTAACCCTAAACCCTAAACCCTTCTTTAACCCTTAAACCCTAAACCCTAAACCCTTATATAACCCTTAAACCCTAAACCCTAAACCCTAAACCCTTATATAACCCTCAAACCCTAAACCCTTATATAACCCTCAAACCCTAAACCCTTATATAACCCTTAAACCATTAAACCCTAAACCCTAAACCCTTATATAACCCTTAAACCCTAAACCCTAAACCCTCATATAACCCTCAAACCCTAAACCCTTATATAACCCTCAAACCCTAAACCCTTATATAACCCTCAAACCCTAAACCCTTATATAACCCTTAAACCATTAAGCCCTAAACCCTAAACCCGCTGACCCGATTTTCTCATCCATGCGCGCCCTGGCGAGGTTGAGAACAAAGAGGCAAAGGTGCCCAGGTACGTTATGGAAACTTGCAGGGTTTAGGGTTTAGGGTGTACTCCCCGCAACCTGTAACAGTCATATGTCGGGGCCCTCATTGAGTATTTGTCCGGTGGTATTCTTGATTTACAAGATTGGGGGGGTGCTACAGGATGGTCGCAAAAGCCAAACCTTGTAAGGTGCGTACGGGGTCCTGTCGTAGGCCCTGTATATGCTATGGCCATGCAAGTATAGATCTGCCTACTCAGTCCTCTGAATTTTCCAGCATGCTGTAGACCTTTATGGGGATATGAAGTCACAGGCCGGAAAGAGAGCAACAAAGAGGAATCCAACTTGGTGGCGGCGGTGGTGCTGCTGGCGTTGGTGGCTGGTAGCAGCCAAGTGGCTGGCTGGCGGGGTGCTGGGGTTGATGGTAGCTGGTACCCGTCACGGAAGTCGAGGCAGCAGTAACCAAACTGGATGTTAAGTAACAGGTATTTGCAAGATGCATGAGACTGCCTGGTGCATCCCTTTGCCATGATCATTAAAGGCCAGTAGACCTGCACATGCCTTCCCAGACTCCAGGTAGCAAGTAGCAGCAATAGAATTCTCAACCCAAGTGGTTCCCATGGAGGCATGCTGGTCCCAGGGTAGGGCCACACATTTCGCAGCCTTCTTCCCTGAAATAACAAAGGACACATGAGAATTCTTCTGCGTCTCTGCAGCCTGCGCCGGCGCTGGCTTTCGACAACGCCCTGTAATTACCTTCCCCAGAATCTGCCGTTACTACCAAGAACTGCACACCCAAAGGGTTCATGTATGTATGTGGTATGCACTTAGGCCCTACAAGTATATATTATACACCTACATGAACCCTTTGGGACACTAACCATCCTCAGTGACGTGGGCGTTTCCAGGGTCCGCCTTGTTTACCTCAAAGGACTGCAATCCTTGCTATGGCTGCTATCGGCATCCCCCCAAGGCGACCCTTATGAGCAATAGCCAACTCCTTGAATTGGGGGACTATATAAGGGTATAGGGTTCAAGGTTGAGGGTCTAGGGTCTAAACTCCTAAAAATGGTTATATAGGGATAACGGAAAGAAAATGGAAACTACTACGGTATAATAGGGTGCGTGTGATCCAGCGGCTTAATCACTCTTTGGAAGTGTGGCACAAAGTGTAGCGAAGCGTCCCCGACATTCTTCCCTACTCTTCTTGGAGCCGTTCCGGGCAGTATCTGCCCTTTTCACCATGCGACCTTAATTTGCCGCATATGGCCCCTAAATGGCATCATGGTTCCAACAGTGAGCGCTGCAAGCCAATCCTAAGCACGTCGCTGGGTAGAACCATCCCAACTATCTAAAGTCAGAGGTCCGCAATAAATTTCAGTTATGCCTATGTTGTAGATTGTAGGCACACGCCATGTATCTATCCCCTAAGTGGCACAACAAACACGCATCCGGTGATCTACGCTGGTCTATAGGTTCACCTGGTCCTTACGAAGGAAGTAACGCAGGGGCATATGTACGCAGCTGGACTAGTCTTTTGGGTAGATTCCGCCATAAAAATCTGAATGTCTTCAGGGGATCATGTTCTCAATAGTGCAAGCCCTAGATAACTCACGCAAAGTATAAAGTCCGGCTGCAGGGATTCGCGTGAAACGGACCAGCTGATTGCTGGTCTCAGTCCTCAGATGTGAACCATTCCACAAACTCAAAGAACCTCGGCTGCAGTTATCGAACTGGAAGCAACCTGGTTTAGGGTTGCATCCTCCGTCCTCCGATTTGGTTGAAAAGCCAGTATCTTCTGGAACAAGCAAGGGGCATGCATAGTTCTGGACACTAGATTGCGCTCCTTACGTAAAAGCTCCTGAAGTCTGGCGCACCAAAAAAAGACGCAAGCGTTGCATATAGCTACTATAATGGAAAAGGAAATGGAAACCCTAGGGGCAATGGACAACACGGTGGAAACTGCTATAGTACTTTGCATTATCCCTAAATAACCCCTGTAAATCTTCAATACACTAAAGTATATAATCCCTATATAACCCCAATATACTATAGTATATCGGGGTTATAAAGGGATAATGGATGGAGCCACCTTATATACACCATACATACCCAAATAATGACAGGCATGGAAGAATCCTAAATGAAAGGCTTCCTCGAATTCATCCACAGTAGTATATGTTTTATGTCTAGAGTCTATATGAGCTATAGTCTAAACTCCTACTATCCCCCTTAATAACCCTTCTCTTAGTCCCCTATATGATCCCTCATATATAACCCCCTTTTTAAGGAGCTTAGATTATGCTAGTGGCCCATGTCGAGTCAATAGTTCCAGCCCTCATATCAGGTTTCTTGAGACTTCCGTCGACATCGAATCCGGATCTCAGTACGCTAGAAATCCTAAACCTTAAATCCTGTTTCCATCCCTAAGCCCTAAACCCTAGGGTCGTTGCAGATGTTCCCGTGGCCATACCTGATCCCAGGCTCCAAACGGGCCAAAGGCGCGAATATCCACAGGTCCAGAACCGATGGAACCATACACCAAACTTGCTGCGTCCTTTCCTCGCTCTCACACAACCTTTAAGAAGCCCTGTGTATCATGAAGCGCCCACCTTTACCGGAGGCATGCAATGCTAGCTACAGGGAATGTACGACCTTTTCCAGGCATCGGAAGTGTATGCTGACAATCTATGTCCTCGTGCGCAAGTTCGTCACTCCAACAAGGTGCCCCGTTCAAATTCAAGCCTGCCTGATAGGGGCGCGAATTCCCAGTCTGTAGAGACTGCACATGGATGCTGCTAGTAATAGTAGTAATTGTCAGCTCCTATCAGCTGACTTGAAGTTTACTGATACGGTAACTGTAACTAAATAGTACTATCCTCCTAACCATATGATAACCAAGGGAGCTGTACTCAAAAGGACTGATGACGGGGCTGGTTAACTTCTAATCAACTACTAAATACCGATGACCTCCAGGTACACCCTTCTTCTCTGGATACATGTCTATATATATATATAAATATGCGCACACAAACACATTCCTACATGCCCATGTAGCCCCATCGAAAGGGACACCATGGACCTTCAAGTAAAGAAAGCAGGGCGGCTCAATCTCGCCACTCCCATCGCTATCGAGCTCGCGGAAGGCCTCCGGGGCTAGGATTTAGGGGGTTCACCACCCAAAGTTCAGTTCAGGGTTTAGGGTTTAGGAGGGGCTTTAGGGGTCCAAGCATGGAAAGTACCAAGGGGGGAGCCTTGGAGAGTAGTTGGGGAGGATCGGAGAGTATTGAACATTAGAGATTTGCGAGGTTATGTCATGTACTACATATTGAAATGTCAACAGTCTGAGGCCTTGTCTGCGACCACAGCATGGCACCCAGCCCCCTAGGAATACAGCCCCTAGCCAGGTCTGAGACTGGAGCCTAGGCCACGAGGCCACTACAGCCCTAAGCTGTTGCAGCATACTTGGGTGCCATCTAGCACCACTGAAGGAGCTCAAGCAGCCCTGCATTCCTGACCCGAAATCCAGATGACTTGACAAATTCCGCGTACCTCTATTACTAGTACCATTCGGAGGGAGGGGTAGGTATTCTCAGGGGGATCGCGGATACTGATTATTAGGGGGAAAATAAGCTCATCCAAACTCCAGGCACTAAACATGTCGGAGGACAAGCCGCTGAAACAACAGTTTTCAAAACGTGTAGCACAAAGGACATATCGCTATGAAGCAAATGAAGAAAGTTACAACAAACAGCTTACATCCCGAATTTTGTTTCCCCGCACACAGGAACCTTAGTCCCAAGCCCTCGTCTACATGGTTCCTACACAGTGCGTATAAGAACCGTGGATCAGTATACGTGGGTAGATACACACACATGTAAGTATGCTCATGTGCATGCATATAAGGGCTACACCCTCCGAGCCCAAATCAAACCCTTCCCACGGCATACCAACCAAAGACCTCAACCCTTGCCTTACATTAAGGGACTACACGTGAGATAGGGCCACTCAAAATGTTGGGAGGGCGTATGCGTTGCTTTGTAACTTATCATGAAGTCCCTCCTAATACTTCTATTTGACCTAACCCCACTGTCCAGTCTTCACCCCCAGAACCTCGAAACCGCAACACCCTACTGAACCCAGAGCCCTGAAAGCCTATAAAGCAGAATCCTTACAGCCTGAAACTCCGCAAATCCGTTATTCGCACTCCCCAGGCCCTTGACCTAGACCCCTCAGTCCCTGAGACCAAAACTTTTCTTACTGGTGCCTCAGGGGAAGGGGGAATTCCTATCATACTCCCCATACAATCTCCATATGAGCTATAGTCTAAACTCCTGGTATCCCCCTTAATGACCCCGATAGTACTCCCCCTATATAATCCCTTATATAACCCCCTTAAAGGAGTTTTAATTTTAGCTCATATATACCCCTATAATGGTACCTATCTTCACTCCCCACTCAGCTTTAAGCACCACCAGGTTTCACCCTTGCCTGATCCAACTCCTCCTCGCTTAGCTCTTCCCCGAGCTTCTCTAGAAGGCCCTTCAGCTCCTGCGAGGAAGTTGGGTACTGCGCCCCCCCCCCTCCCCCCCGCGCCAAACAACAGGCTATAATGTAATCTATTAAGGAATATCTAAATACAAAAGTGTATGTACATATATGCTGAATTCTAATATAGGCAATATTGAACCTATTAAGGAATATCTAAATACACATATATCTGTTTATTTGTAATATATAGACATGATCCAACTGTTACTGCGAGGGCAGTATCCAACATACAAGTTCTACAAAGGATATATGGGGAGCATGGGCATGTAAGTATTTGTGTATGTGTAAAGAGGAAATAGATGAAGTATATGGAGGAGTATAATGATATACGGAGAGGTCTAACGTGCAATGATAAGGATACAGAAGGATATTTGCAAGTATATGAGCCACTGTCTAAACTCCTAGTATCCCCCTTAATAACCCCTGTAGTAATCCCCTATGTAATCCCCTATATATCCCCCCTTNNGACTATAGCTCATATGGGGTTGTATGTCGGGTTCATTGACTTCACGCCACATAGCACACTCCATCCTATGTAGTCCCGTGGCAACAAAGCTCGAGGAGCTCTGGAAACGCCGATGGATTTCAAACATCTGGGCTTAGGTTCGCCAAAAACTGGGTTGCTGTTAAGG